AAAATACTAATTTTTACTGCCGGCCTTCCACCACCCCCCACCCAAAAAAAAAAAAAAAAAATAAATAAATAATTAAAATAATAAATTAACAAAAAAAACAACAAAAACTATAAATAACAACTTCCTCACGTGGCAAACGATTCCATAGCTGGGGACGGCCCTGACAAAATTAGACCCCGCTACCTCTTCAACGAAGTAATGTTAACAGAACAACACGGAACTATTCGACAAATTTCTCTTTTTTTTTTCTTTTTTTTTTTATATGTCTCTGCCGCTGTTAAATTTATGTAATATTTAAACTTGACCTTGAAATTCTAAAAATGCCACCAGGGATCTTACGCTATTTGTATTTTTTTCCCTTATCTTGTGAAGTTTTTTTTTGCTTGTTGTTTTTTTTTTGTTGTTTTTTTTTTTTTTTTTTTTAATTAATGTTTGTCATATTATTACATTTATTCTTCATTGTATTTTTTTCCCTTATTTTTTGAAGTTTTTTTTTGTTTGTTTTTTTTTTTTTTTTTTTTTTTTTTTTTTTGGTGCATTGTTGACTATAAGATTTCTTTTACAATTTAACAAGAACAACAAACGTCATTGTACATTTTTCAATGTAAAAATGTTGGGTGTTTCCCCTTGATGTACATTTGTTTTTCATACAAGTTCATTGAACATATTAATGAAGCGCAGGCATGGGCGCCCGCAGAAAACTTTCTAGGGGAGGGGGGAGGGGAATCGATTAACTTTCCAGGGGGGGGGGGGGCAAACATTTTTTTAGTAATGTTTTAATGTAGTTTCAATTTACTGTAGCGTATTTGTATGGTGAACGAACGGACAGGAAATCAGCTTAGTTACTTTCTCTTTATTTTCTCTTTACTTTAATACATTTTTGGTTTATTTTTTTCTAATTTTTTTTATCCAATCAATCCAGGGAGGGGGGGGGCAGGTGCCACCCCCTCCCCCCCCCCCTGCAGGCGCCCATGAGCTCAGGTTATATCAAGGTCACTTAAATGAAGTGAACGCATGCATTTGAAACCACGATTTTATTTTAAATAATAAAATTTAAATAAATGTCCGACCATATGGTTTTTTAATAATGGAAATGTTTTAAAAATGAAATAATAAGAATGTTAATGATAATTTACTTTTTTTGTTTTAATGTAAGCGATTGTCATTGAATTCTTGGAGCTAGACATGTGAGCAGCCTTGTAAATACAACAAAAAAAATATTTCAAAAAGCATTATTATGGAACGAGATGTGTAAATTCTTATAGAAACGATTAAGTAATATTTAGAAATGTGGAATAAACTTAAGCTAAAAACTTTATACAGTATCTGTCGCAATTCAACCTGTCACAATTCAACCTGTCGAAATTCAACACTAGAATTTTTTCTGCACATCATAGAACCAGACTTTCCTGGACGCGATTGTTGCCGACCAATAAAAATTTAACATTGTTCTCTTGCTCTTTTTTAAATTCTCTATTTTAAGCAGCCTCCCACTTATGTAATGATATTTTCTTTGAAACAAAAAATTAACCCCATTTTCTTTAAGGTCCACTTTTTTTAAGGTTGTAAAGAAAGTAATGTCAACATTGCCTCCCATATTTAGAAGTGAAGTTTACGACTTAATATTTCTCATTTCGATCGTCCTGTTAAATTAGTTTAGAGGCAATCTTTAATAATTTTTTTTTACTCGACCTCGCCCTGGTGTCGTTTTTGGTCAGTGGGTGGGGAGTGCACGTGCAGGTACTCGGTGGGCGTCGTTTTGTCAGTGGGTGGGGAGTACACGTGCAAGTACTCGGTGGCCGTAGTCAGTTGATCAGCTGAATTCTGGGGTTGACGGAGTTCTCGGCGACAAATTCTGAAAGTTGGGAGCATTAAATCACAGGTATGAGTTGGATATGAAGGTAGGGGGGGGGGAAGTTTTAGGGTGGGTTGAAGGTAGGGGGGCCAAGCAGGGACGTGCTGGCACATGGAAAGCCGTGAGGAACGGTGTAGTAAGAAAGGCCCGGAGGCAACCCCGCCCCCCCCCACCCGCACACCGGAGATTATAATAACTGCCCAAAAAGGCCCATGACGAATGCTCGTCGCGTCGTCTTGGGCCAGCACGTCCCTGGGGCCAAGGTTTAGGGTGGGTTGAAGGTAGGGGTGACAAGGTTTAGCATGGGTTAATGGGAAAGGGATTACAATGACGTCATTTGGGTAGGGCAGGGTGAGGCATTCCCCCCACCCTGAATTTACAGGTTTTATTTAAATTTGTATATACTGTGGCTCCACCAGTAAGAAAAAGGCTTAACAAGCCGACCAAGTACTGGCACAATTATAGGTTTTGAAATTATGGTGAGAGAATTAGAGTCAAATGGAAGGGTGCAGAGGTTTGGGTGTAAGGATGTACAAGGATTTGAAGAGATAATTGCTACAAGTCTGTTGGATGAAAAGCCAGAAACCCGAGTAAAATGATTATACTGTCCTTTGAACGTCGTTGGTGGGTTCACTTTCATTACAATGTAGGATCACAAGACAGCACAACTAGAAACCATAACTCTGTTTGGACCTTCCGCTCTATTGCAGTCGTTCTCAGTTACATTATTTGTTCCCCTCCATTTTACATCATGCCAAGCCTGCAGTGGTCAGCATATCGCGACTCGCGAGCCGCATTCGGCCCTTTAGCGACCTGGGTATGGCTCGGCCAGTCGGCCACCAATCGGTTTTGACTCAAAAAAAAACATGGTTCTTGACAGGTTCTTGAAAAGGAATTTGGCTCTCAAAATTTTTAAAATCTTTCTGCTGCTGATTTTTTGGCTCCTTTGACTAATGATTTTTCCGACCACTGGCTAATGATTTTTCCGACCACTGACTAATGAGTTTTCCGACCACTTACTAATTAGTTTGCCGACCACTGACTAATGAGTTTTCCGACCACTGACTAATGAGTTTTCCGACCACTGACTAATGAGTTTTCCGACCACTGACTAATGAGTTTTCCGACCACTGACTAATGAGTTTTCCGACCACTGTGCTAAGCAATAGCGTCATGCATGAGCTCAGCTGTTGCAGCACTTACAGTTCGTCAGACAGGTCGATGCATGCGTCCAAGCCAAGCTTAGAGTCAGATGACTCTGTGTCAGGGCTGACTTCCAGAGGCGTCCCTCTGCGACCAACTTCATGACGATGTTTCGCAAGCCTTAGAGATCGCCTGCGACTTTGCTAAAACGAAGAAAAAAAATGAGGTGTGCAGTCACATGGGTGAGGGGGTGGGGTATAAACTTAGAATATATGGCTGCTAACGGCAGACATAGGCTGGGACATTAAACCCACCAACAGTCGCCACTTTAACTGTAGCATCAACTTTGGTAAGCACAAAGTCACAAAGTATATTTTGTAGAGTCATCCTACTGTTTATTATGACAGCGTCAGCACAGACACTGAATGACTGAATGTATTCCATCAAAGATTCCTGAGATCATATGGCCTAGGCACTGCGATCGTGCAAGAAACGAAGATTTATTATGTAGGAACGGAATGTAAGACACTTCTGGAGCCTTCCATAACTGCGCATGCGTAACAACTCCCATACTATATATATATATATAAGGTGCTTTTTTTGTAAAAAATAGGTGCCGGTACTCAGTGATGGATTGCCTAACTTTTAACTACCAGTTCGCACCTCGATGCAAGCTAAATCACATCTGCAAAGATACTAAATGTCTAAAACAATTTTATTTTATAATTAACCAACTTAAATCGTTTTATTATTACTTTATTAGTATACCGTATACATTTGTTATGATTTGTAAAATTTAACTAACAACTTATTCAAGTTATTCTTGATTTACTTTTTTAAAAATTTGTTAAGCTCTCTTGTGTTTTATAGGAAAGAACCCTGTTAAAAATGAAATATAATGTTGAATAAATTATTCATCATAAATTCCAAAGTTTGATCAAGTTCTCATCTGACGTATACTCCCAACTGCGTTCTTTGCTGTTGGTATCTGTGGCTGAATGTCTGCCTCTAAGCAACCATGAATCAACGTATCTTGTAGGGTCAAAACGTACGAGTGGTGGTCCAACTAATGGGATAAATAACAGTGAAGATACAGTTGTTGTCATCAATGAACTTCTTGTCGGGTTGATGATAAGATTCATTTGCGAAAATCTTCTTTCGGCATCACTTGAAGAAATTGGGATTGTACTGAGAGCAATTTTCAAAGGAAGTAGTTTATCCGGAACGTTTTTTTTCGATGAGATATTCACGAAATCCACGAATCATTATTCTTTCGTTTAATTGCAATCTTGTTGACAAGTTTCTCATTTCTGTTTCGCCAAATGTTAAGTGAGTACCAATGTTGGCCGGCCATTGCTTTGTATCGAGCACTCGAGCCCAATATGCCAACTCAGCATCTTCACTAGAAAGCAACCTTTGTTCAATTGATTCTTGTAGTTTTTTGTAAAAAGCTTTTACGTCAATTGGTGGATCACTGGTACAGTTTTTGGTGTGAAGTGAAACTCCTTTGAAAAGGTTACTATCTACAGCGGTGGCCGCAATTTTATAATAAGGGCTTGGAATAATTTGCCTTTCTTCAAAAATCTGTATAACAGCCTTGATTTTTTTTATCTTCTCTGTAGTTGTCTATGTTGCGCTCTTGCAAATCCAAACTTAACTCTGACAATTCTTGGAGCGCATCGCACATCAATCCGAGGTCTAGTACAAATTCCGTAGAAGTAATCTTTCGCTGCAAACCTTCATACATGCATTGATCTTTTTTGTCTCTGGTAGAGTCAAGTTTTGCTTCTTCAAAATGTTGTACCAAAACTTCATAATCTTCCCAAACTGCTAAAACAGAACGGAAGCTGGATGCCACCCATCGCGTGCTTAACATTCTTCCAATTTTTAACAACTCAGCTTTTAACAAACGAGCACATATTTGCAATTCTCTGCAATTTTTGGGTGAAGAATGATAAACTACATGCAGTTTATCAATGAATACCTTAAATCTGTTGATCCCTGAAACTTGTTTTACGACATCACCAACGGAGAGTTCCAGTTGGTGATTTGCACAATGCCAAACCAGAACCGATGGAAACTTTTCTTTTAGCAATGTCTTGACGCCACTTTTGCTTCCCAACATCATAGCTGCTCGATCACATGCAAGAGAAACTAAGTTCCTTCTTAGAAAGTCTTCTGTTAACCCATAGAAATAAAGGCAGTGTAGTAAAGAAGCAAAAATTCCATTTGCGGTTACACTTTCGAGTTCTACCAAATCCAAGAATAAATTTACTGGTGAGGTCATTCCACTGTCTGCAAGACAAATCCGAATATACACAATTAAAGTCGAATTTTGGCTAAGCGTAGTTGATTCGTCGATGATCAATGAAGTTTTATTGTACAATTTCTTGTAACAATTTTTTTTTCTCATTTCACAACTAATGTGATTCACTACATTTATGCAAGCAAAGGTTGAATGAAGAATACGGCCCATCTCAACTCCGTTTAGTTCTTGCAAATCTATTTCAGATTCGAAATTATGAAACGATTGGTTTTCTTTGGCTACTTTATATGCTCTACGAAAAATCTTTGCAGTTACGATTTTCTCACGAGTTAATGCCTTCAACAACACGTTCTCAATAGGTGCTGCCTCGGCTTCTGTTAGGATCTTACGCGCAGCTTTGTATGCCGCAGTTTCTTTATGATCGAATAATTTCTTTCTTAAAGACATAAGCTGTTGTTGTCGATTAGTACCGAAGTAAGTTATTTTATTGTCGGCCCATTCGTACGATACCTTCATTCCCATCTTTGCCTCGACTCCGAGATTGCCAACTTTTCGGTAAGGGATACAACCAAGTTTTTTTTTTTCATTATGGATAGATAGCCAATCATATTTCAGAAGGAAATAATTTCTTTGATCTAAAGTCCAGCAGGTAGGCCAATCAACATTTGCAGGCTGCAGTTGTTCAAAAGTAACATAGGAACCAAGAACGATAACTGACGGCTTTGGTCCCGATAGTTCCATTAGGGTTTCTTCTGTGACATTGGCTTCTGCAGTTATTTCTTAAGTCAGTCTCAGTCTGGTTTTCTTACTTACCGGCAAAGTCCCAGTCGGAACATCGATTGAATGCGAAAAGAAATCAGAAACTTTCTTCATTTCCAAAGTGGGCTAAGAAATAATTATTGCTTAAATTATCAATTTCTAACTGCGCTCGTTTTAATTTCTTTAAGTCTTAATTATTACATTCAAATTTTGAAATTTTAAAGGCATTACGTCTTAAAAACAACCATGACCGGAAATAGGTTAATAACCAATGACGTAACATTACGAGTGTGTGCGGAAAGCAGTTTCGCATTTTATATTTTAATTCTTATTTGCGCGCAATTTTAAAATAATTCAATTTTAACAAATTAATAATATAATAAATTAATAATAAACGTAAAATTACAAGAAAAGTAATAATTTTTTCCCCACATTGAAAAAGGTGCCGGTACGCCGTACCGGTGCGTACCAGCACAAAAAAGACATATATATATATATATATATATATATATATATATATATATATATNTATATATAAAACCGTTAAGACTGCCATACAATTGATATAACTACTAAAACTGCCATATACCTGTTAATAACAAAGAGAAGAAAAAAAAAGGGAGGGGGGGGGGGGCATATTATCAAACAAAGGAGATTTTTGTAAATGAATTTGATAATTTGGACATCTGTATTGAGGAAGAATGTAAAAAACTGAGGAAGATAAGGAGATATGAAAACCTATTCAGTATACAGTGTGGAAGAAATTAAGACAAAGACTAAATAGGTAATGCGATACATTTTTGTATGCTATTTGAGACTGCCATAACATCATTGGAGAACAAGGAAGCCCTTCATGATTTTAAACGCACACATACTTTTATAACTCTAGTTGCATCTACACTAAAATAGACAGAAAACCAGCGAGTGAAGGCAAAGTAGACAAAGACGACCACGAACCTCCACCATCATCAACTCCAGTTCTCGGAGTCCATCTTTGGTGAACTCAACATTCGTAGTGGTGTAGCCCACCCCTGCGCAGCCCCCGTCGTTCACGCAGCAGAGCGGGTAGTCCGGCCTTACACCTCCCTTGTCAAACGAGTCGTCCGGTTGCAGCCGCGTTCCGTCTGCACTGTCGTCCCCGAGATCCTCCTCGGTTTCCGAGGGCGAGTTGCTGCTGAGAAGAACTCTAGATGCCCACTCCCTGCAGACCGCGTCCTTCTGATCCAAGCTAGGCTGCAACATTGCACATAAATATTCAATAAGAGGCTTAACGTCATCCATCAGTTTTCATAAATGTTGTGTCAAATTAATATTAATAATAATAAGACGTCTTATATAGCGTGGTACCCCAGCCTAGGGCTGGGCTCACCGCGCTGTACATAAAATTTTATCAAAAGAGACATAATTATAACATTAAAATAAAATACATTTCTGAAAAAAAGAACAGCAATGTATATTCACCCACCCCACCACATAACTTTTACAAGACAAACCATGGACGGCAGCCAGCAAGATCATTTATCGGTCAGAGGAGGGGAATCAATCAGGGTAGTATAAATTAAAAAGATATGTTTTTAGTGCAGTTTTGAAGGCCTGGGTGGTTGGTATATTGCGTATGTTTAGTGGCAAAGAATTCCATTGTTTGGGGGCGCAGAAAGAGAAAGATCGTTCACCATATGTTTTAGTGTGTGTCTTGGGAACGGACAGAATACTCGTGTCTGCAGAATCTCGTATGTTGAACGCATTTCCTTATCTATTTGGGATCACGACATATTCAGCGATGTCATATAATCTAACATTATCGCAGACAAATAACGGTTCAATCAGAATACCTGACAGCAGTGAGTTTGTTTTTATTAGAAATACTCTACATCATACAATGAATCATATCGTTTTTTTGTTTATATCCATTTCATCTCAGTCGTGAAATTGTCCCGTCCAAGTGCCACAATCACGAAATTGTCCCGTCCAAGAGCCACAATCACGAAATTGTCCCGTCCAAGTGCCACAATCACTTCATTGTCTCGTCCAAGTGCCACAATCACGACATTGTCTCGTCCAAGTGCCACAATCACGACATTGTCCCGTCCAAGCGCCACAATCACGACAATGTCCCTTCCAAGCGCCACAATCATGACAGTGTCCCGTCACAGTGCCACAATCATGACATTGTCCGGTTTAAGTGCCATATTCGTGACAAAGTCCCATCAAAGTGCTACTATCATGACCTTGTCCCGTTAAAGTGCCACAATCATGACATTGTCCCGTTACAGTGCCACAATCATGACATTGCCCCGTCAAAGTGCCACAATCATGACATTGTCCCATTAAAGTGCCACAATCATGACATTGTCCCGTTAAAGTGCCATATTCGTGACATTGTCCCGTCAAAATGCCAAAACCGTGAATTTGTCCCGTCAAAGTGCCACAATCACGACGTTGTCCCGTCAAACTGCCACAACCGTGAAATTGTCCCGGAATAATGATGAAAGTTTTCCCCATGACCCGATAAGGGCCCCTTACCTAAACAAAATTTCATTAACCCAGCAATACAGAAACCAGACATTTACCTTCATAACAGTATGACAATCAAACATGTACCTATCAAATAATATAGAAACCAGACATTAACTTTCCCAAAACATAGAAATCAGATATTTACCTTCCAAACAATACAGAAACGAGACATTACTCTTCTCAACAATACAGAAATGAGATATTTACCTTCCCAACAATACAGAAACTAGAAATGTACCTTCCCAACAATACAGAAATCAGACATTACCCTTCTCAACAATACAGAAACTAAACATATTTACCTTCCCAACAATACAGAAATCAGACGCGTATGCAGACACTTCCAGACTTCCTTTCTTTGTTGTCGCCATACAGTGTAAGGAAGCACCCGGTTGCTTGTTGCGACCTGAGAATGGTTGGTGAAACTTCCATGCCTGGGGCGTCAGGTCGCCACCATTGCATGAATTCTCTGATCAATTAACAAGTATTCATTTGGAAAAAAAAATCTATGAGTGAAATATTAATCTTCTTCAGTCGGTTATTTTTCAAAGTTCTAAAATGTAACATTGTAACTAATCCACTAATGTTATAGAACTGTCTAAATGGGGAAATTCAAGGCGAGGCGCCATTGTTGCGTTGCAAACAGGGGGAGGTTAGGGGAAAGTTTGAAATATTTGCTGTAACTATTGAGATGACCTTGTCTGAGCTCAGAAAATGTAACTGTATATGCAGGAGTCAAGTCCTGGGGGAAAAGTTGTGGGAAATCACCCAAGGCAAGATTTCAACCCCCACCCCGTTCCCTAAATAAAAATGTATTTTTTTTCTTAACAAATACAGTGCAACATTTATTATAACAGGCAGCTTTACATATGTCGTATTAAAAGAATAGTAAATCACATGTAACAACAAGATAAGTTAACCTGTTTGACATAAGGATGAAATAAGCACAGCAGCTGGTAATAAACACACGGCCCCCATACATCAAAGGACTATCCAGGGGGGGGGGAGGGGGGCTAGAAGACCGCATACCTCAAGGGACTATCCAGGGGGACTAGAAGACGGACCGCATACCTCAAGGGATATCCAAGGGGACTATTAGACGGACCGCCTACCTCAAGGAACTGTCCAGGGGAACTACAAGAAAACGGCCCGTCTACCTCAAGGAACTGTCATGGGGAACTACTAGAAAACGGTCCGCCTACCTCAAGGAACTGTCCAGGGGAACTACTAGAAAACGGCCCACCTACCTCAAGGAACTGTCCAGGGGGACTGCTAGAAGGAGGAGATCCCCAACTTGCCGCCTTGCGGCCGATAGTTAGGGGACTTTTCGGGGGGGGGGGTGATTTAGGGAGGGCATTTTAAGGGCTCTGGCTCGACGGCTCGTTGAAGCCATTTCCTAATGTACATATTTCATTTAAATCGGCCAGAGAAAAAATAAAATGCTACACTTCACCTTTAGTAGGTTGTTCTTTAACACTTCGGAAATCTAAACTGGGTGCGAAGACGCCGTCAGCGGTAAGACCTGGGGCTCTTTTCTTCTTCTTGATTTTATTGACCCCATTTTGCACGCGAACCATCTCAGTGCTGCTCCTTGTCCGGATCACGCCTTCACCGGAAAATCTTTCATTGTCAGAAAGTTCTAAATTTTCCCATGGCTGTTGGAGATGTAAAAACACGATTTTAAAATGAAAAAGAATGACGTCATCGATAGAGTGATCTGAAAAATATGTACACTTTAAATACTTTAATGGAGAACTTTAAAATATGAAAATTTTCTGTCCACTGCCTTTTTAGCGGTAGCAAAAATAACTTTTAGACTTGCAGCCTTAAAAAATGACAATTTTTTTCACAAATTGAACACCGTATTTTAGATTTCCTCTAATCATAGATCGTGATTGATTTAGTGGGAATATGTGTTAAGGAATTTAAAAGGGGACGCAAGAGAATATTCTGAAAATGCAACGCTGTCTGAAAATGCAACGCTATCTGAAAATGCAACCCTTGTTTGAAAGGTTGTCTTTCTTAGCATTAGTTCCAGACAGACATGCGACGGGAGTTATCGGCATTTTATTTGACGTAGTCCTACCTGTCGCCTTGAAGATACTAGTCGATGTGTTCCGTTGGGGGCAGATTTAGCCAGTTTTTTAAACGATGACTGTTAAGAGGATAACAAAAAATCAATTTTTAACGTGTGTGGGAACTGCTAGAGAAAATTAAAACAACCAATGTGTAAGACGTATGATAACTGTATGATTTAGCCTTTGTGTACATTATTCATTCAGCAAAAATATGTCGTCGTCCGCCCCCCCCCCCTTTTTTTTCTACTGATCACCGGAATTCAACGTGCAAAACAGTAAAAAGTTGTCACAATCCAGCCAATCAAACGTGCATACCTTGTGTAACCAAGTTCTGCTGTCCTTCTTAAACACTCGTCCGCTCTCGTCTGTTATCACGTGAGTTTGGTTGTATAACGGGTCTTCGAGGAGCTGCTCGTAGGGGTCGTCACTTCCCACCCCTTGTACGTTTATGGGCGGCGTCTTCTTGGGGAAAACGTGGGCGTTTTTGTGCAGCCAAACCCGGGAGTCCTTTTTGAACCCTCCTGGCAACATACTTAGGCTAAACTTGCTTCAAATTTTGACAGGATGTTACAGGTGGCAAAAAAAATGTCGTTTCTTCCTGTCATGAGCCAACCATGCCAGAAACTTTTGGACAAGGAAGCTTTAAAAATAATTATTTAGTAGTAATGGGTCCCACATTTCGTGAATCCAGCTTAACTCTAGCACGTTTAGATGCCACTCATTTTAAAAATGAAATTAAGTAAAACAAAATGAATACTAACGTATGAAAGATGGTAAGACACGTATTTATGTTGATTGTACCCCGATTCCTGGTTGAAATTGATAAATTTAGTTAAATTATTTTTAATTTTGCGAATTTTTAATTAAAATTTTAATTTATTCGTTTACGTATTTTTCTTCAAAGGTGTTACTTGACTTGCTCTGGAGTTGGATTGGGCAGAGGCGTAGCTAAGGGGAGGGGAGCAGGGGGAACAGATTTCCCTGGGCGCAAGAATGTACTTTGATATTATTTTATTGATGAAAATAATGGATTTGAGAGTTGAAAAAAGAAAGGGAAGATCTTTATAATGAATCGTGTCCCCGGCCACCAAACACTCTAGTTACGCTTCTGGGATTGGGGAGGGGGGGGGGGCTCCCTCATAGATGCCCAGAAGAAATACTGTTGGCCTGGTATTTAATTCGAGAGCTCACTATGAATATTATTATGAATGTAGAAATATACATTTAAATTTTGTTTAGAAAATTTGTGGGCATTCTATAAAAATATTGATTTGAACATTTACAATACTAATACTAATTAATGAATTCTTCACATTTTTCATTAAACAAATTATCGAATCCAATGAATATTCAAATATTTAATTTCAGTAAGCAACTTATGGTCTGTTACTACAGTAAGTTAAATTTTGTGGCGTCAAGATATATTTTATCATTTCTATTGTTAGCTGAAGAAGGCTTTATGTCGAAACGTCCTATCTTTTTGTCCTGTTCTCTAATTCAAGCTTCCACATACCTCATTTTGCCATTTCATTCATTTACTAGGTTTGAATGCAGTCCTTTCATTTATATATTTTATCATTATCATGTAAAAAAAAAAAATTACAAATTTTTTCGTCAATGAAGGGTGGGACATAGTCTCTCGTTTTCTTAAGTAAAAATATTCAAGGTACCACACACACATTTGGTTCAAGATTTAGCTCTTATTTTAAATTCATAGTAATTTTTTGCCCTTCCAAAAGTATATCGAAAAAAGGAAATTATTTTTTTAATATTAAGTGTAAAACTAATCTCTACACCAGGGGTTAATCATTTTGGTGTTTTTTTTTAATGAACACGTGGACAAAAATGTATGCCCACTGACATTTTTTTTAAAAAATGTGTTGTACCGAGAAGTACTAACACAATATTGTTTAGTGGTAGTGGTAGATTATCCAGAAGGTAAAAAAAAATACTGCAGCACGCATTATATCGGGTGTAAGTATAAAGAAATCTGACCACATCGAGCCAGGTCTTGAAGATCTCCACTGGCTTCCTGTGGTTAGTGAGCGCATTGACCACGAAATTTTGTCCCTGGTGTATAGTTGTATAGAAGACTCTGCACCTGTCTTTCTTCAAAACTGATTTCTAAACATGTATCCATACAGAACCTGCCCTCTTCAACACAGACCTTACTGAGGGTTCCCAGTGTGAATGGACACAGAAAGAAGTCACATGGAGTGCGCTTTTTGAAGCTAATGCGCCTAAATTGTTGAACAGTTTTCCTCAATCTTTGAGGGAAATTGAAAATGATATAAAATCATTTAAGAAACATTTATAGACTCTTTTTTTTCCCTTTAAATAGATTTTAGGACATCAGAGCAGTGGGAGCATGCTGAAATAGCATCAAGACAAGTGCTACATGCGTTTTCAATCATCATATAAAATATTCAGATTGATATTAAAATCTCCATCTACTTCCGGTGGCGGGAAATCCTGTAGACTACTTGTTATCAAAACTTACACTTCAAATGTGACTCACTCCGACTGAGAAAATCAAATAACTGATATTTTCATATTAAAAAATTAGGGTCATGCTGGAGAATATCGTCTGTCCATTCTGACGTCGTGCAGTAGCTTTTCCTTCACTTTAGGGAAATGTGTTTAATTCCCGAGGCGACGGAAATGATCACGTGTAGCTCTAGAGTTGAATAGATTGACTCAGTTTAAATTACGCACCGTCTGTCGCACGCATGGTGTGTAGCTCTAGAGTTGAATAGATTGACTCAGTTTAAATTACGCACCGTCTGTCGCACGCATGGTGTGTAGCTCTAGAGTTGAATAGATTGACTCAGTTTAAATTACGCACCGTCTGGCGCACACATGGTGTGTAGCTCTAGGGTTGAATAGATTGATTCAGTATAAATTACGCACCGTCTGGTGCACACATGGTGTGTAGCTCTAGAGTTGAATAGATTGACTCAGTTTAAATTACGCACCGTCTGGTGCACCCATGGGCTATTTGGAGTCCATGGATGTGACTCAAAAGGAAAGACAACGACACACCTGGCAAATGGTTGGGAAAGGATACAGAACCATTTTCGATTTTATTTCAAATTAGGGATGGCCAACCCGCGGCCCGCCGTGTTTAGAGCCACTGCCACCTAAGAAGCCAAAATGATCAATAAATTGATCGTGGGCCCTTAATATGTAGAAGAAGTGACCTTACACATTGTGACCATCGATTATATTAATATTGATAAGTTGTGAACAGTCTGCACATGTTTGTTCTATTACAAAGCAACATAAGGATGTAACAGAGCTATATTTGTAGTCAACAGAAACTAGATTCTTAAATTATAAGCAAAGGTCGCTCCAAGCCTTACTGCAAGCTATTGATTCTCATACTGTTAAGATCGTTAGTTCCTATGAAGTGTTGTTGATTTAATGTAAATAAAATTGTATGGAATTACTTATAAGCGTATGCAGCATATGACTGAAATTACGTCCCTTTGTGTGTGATTTGAGTCCAAGCACAAACCACTAGGCAGGAGCAGATAATATCTCACACGAGAGTTATCCACTTTAGTTGAGTAATGTTACTCATTTCACCAGGGTGGAAGGGGGGGGGGGCAAACAGAGTTCACGTAGGGGGGTCAGGCGGGGAAGGAGAAAGGAGATGTGGTTTATGGGTTGAATGAGAGAGGGGTGGAGTTGAGAGAGGAGTGGTGTTGAGAAAGGGGTGGTGTTGAGAGGGGGGTGGTGTTGAAAAAAGAGGTCACGTAGGGGGGGCAGGCGGGCAAAGAGAAAGGAGATGTGGTTTATGGGTTGAATGAGAGAGGGGTGGTGTTGAGAGAGGAGTGGTGTTGAGAAAGGGGTGGTGTTGAGAGAGGGGTGGTGTTGAGAGAGGGGTGGTGTTGAGTTGAGAGAGGGGTGGTTTTGAGAAAGGGGTGGTGTTGTGAGAGGGGTGGTGTTGTGAGAGGGGTGGTGTTGAGAGAGGGGTGGTGCTTTAGGGGATCATTCTCTTTTCAAGGATAGGAGTTGTCTGTGAAGGAGTTGTCTGTGAAGGAGTTGTCTGTGAAGGAGTTGTCTGTGAAGGAGTTGTCTGTGAAGGAGTTGTCTGTGAAAGAGTTGTCTGTTAACGGTTTGTCTGTGAAGGAGTTGTCTGTGAATGAATTGTCTGTGAAGGATTGTCTGTGAAGGAATTGTCTGTGTAGGAGTTGTCTGTGAAGGAATTGTCTGTGAAGGAATTGTCTGTGAAGGAATTGTCTGTGAAGAAATTGTCTTTGAAGGAATTGTCTATGAAGGGGTTCGGTGGTGGAAATGGTAGGGACATTTCGGGTAGTTGGGTCAAGGCTCATTGGTCTTTGTAGCAGGTATGGAAGGGTGTCCTAAATGACTATAACGTGTCAAATGGGAAAAAAAGATACCAAAGCATTTCCAAGCATATAAAAAAAAAGCAATTTCTGAGACTCTATAAATCGAATGAATATTTGGACCCAAACACGAGGAACTTTACTTTGATGGAATTTTTCTGTTTTCAAAAGTGAACCTTGGGTTACCCTCATGTATGTCATTTAGGCGTTGACTGAAATATAAAATACGTAAAAAGTTTCTTTTGTTCTTGTAGTTCACATGTAGATTACACTTGCTTTCGATATGCTTGACCGCAGCGTACTTCTCCAACGTCTGCAAAAAAAGGATCGGTCTCACTGATACCATCCTGAGATGGTTCCGTTCGTATATGACAAATCGGGTCCAGTCAGTTATTTCAAACGGCTTGACCTCGAAGCAATCTATAATCGATTTCGGAGTAGGCCCAGTGCTTTTCACTATGTACGCTCAGCCCCTGGGTGCAGTGATCAAGCAGTTTGACATGCTATATCACATGTTCGCGGACGATATACAACTTCATCAATCCGTGATCCCCTCTCAGTTCCCTCAACTTCTTAGTATAACACAGAAGACAGTGGAGTCAGTTAAGCACTGGTTGACCATAAACAAGCTCAAACTGAATGATAAAAAGACCAAGCTGATCCCCATTGCCACCGTACAGAAGCAAAAATCTGCAAATAACAAAACATCATTTACTCTCTCAGGTGTGCGGATTGAGCTTGCTCAAACAGTGCGCAACCTGTGTGTCTACCTAGATAGAACACTAACTTTGGAAAATCACATTAACATGCTTTGCAAGACGAATTTTCTAGAGCTGCGCAAGATTATAGTCATATCAGACCTTTCTTAACGTTCGATGCATCAAAGAGGCTGATGTCTGCATTCATGCTATCGCGCATGGACTACTGCAATGCTCTCATGGTGGGTCTTCCAGCTACGCTCCTGGATAAAATTCAAATAGCACAGGATAATGCGGCTCGCATTGCTCTTCGCAAAAGCAAATTCGACCATGCAAAAACACTTCTGAGAGAGTTGCACTGGCTGCCGGTGCGTGCTCGCATAGAGTACAAAATTGCAACTTTGTGCTACCGCTGTTTACATGACCTTGCGCCGTCCTATCTCAAAGCACTCATGACGCCTTATGTACCCAAACGACAACTCTGCTTATCCGATAGTGGCAAAATATCGACACCGCGTGTTTGCCTTGAGACTTACGGAAAGCGCACTTTCGCATCTGCTGGCCCAACAATTTGGAACGCCCTTCCA